GTCGGGCTGCCCAGTGGGCAGTCCTCAGCATGTGGACCCGAGCTTTCTGTGTGTCTCCTGGGGCAGGTCTCTGCCTCCGTGGCCTCGGTATCCTCCAGCATCTCTTCGCCTAGTGGGGGTCATCATAACGCTCGGTCACCATAGGGCTCCGTTAAGATGCCTCTGGGAAGGGGCCTCGGAGCCGGTGGCACGTAGGCAGGGAAAGTCGGGCGTGACCCTGATGGCAGCTTTTCCAGGGCTTGTTGGCAGGGCCATTGGAGCCTGGCACCTTGGGGAGGCCATGCACGCATTCAGAGGCTGGTCTGTCTGCTTTCCAGAAGGTCCCCTGTCGTGTCTCGAGGTGGTCAACAGCGATGGCTTGGGAGCCACTTACTGGGTGTATCACCTCCGGCCAGGAACTTAACCACTCTGTGCCTCAGCTGCCCTGTCTGTAAAATGGGGTAATGGAGCATCTTAGGGGGTAGCTGGGAGGATTAATCACCTTAACACACACAGAACAGTTAGAACCAGGCCTGGCACGCAGTAGGCACTGAGCTTCCCCGGCCTTGTCCCTTTCCAAGGCTCCTCTCTGCTCTTTGCCACCCAGCCATGGTCCCTAAGCCCCTGTGAAAACCGGCAGGATGGCCAGCTGGGCTGGGGCGTCCGCCCGCTGAGTTGGCAGATGCTGAGCTGTGCGGCCGTCTAGTGGGTCAATATTTGATGCAGTGGGTGTGGTTAGTGCCTTTCCGAGAAGGAAAGCCGGGCGTGCTCTGGCCCTGCAGCCCACTGGCTGCTTCCCTCACCCTCCACTCAGGGGCCCCCGAGCTGAGGAAAACTGGGACCGGCAGCCCCCCTGCTCTCTCGCCCCAAAGCAGCCGGAGGGCAGAGGGCCTGTGCCCAGGATTGCCACGCCACTGAGTGGTGGGGGGCCCCCCGGCTGCCATAGTCCCTCCAGCATTTTTCATGTTCAGTCTCTAGGTACAGAGAAGGTCATTCGTATTTTTGCTCTCTCTCTTTTTTTCTTTGAATTGATGAGGCTTCTTAAATGAAATAAGGGGTCCATTTTCCCCTCCGGAGAGAAGCGTTGGCTTGGTTTCCCGAGAAAGGCAGTGTCTTTCCGCCAAGAAGGGGCTGTTGTAAGATGTTCGCCTGCAGTGAGAGGCCATGCTGGGTCACTGTGAAAGACAGCATTGCAGAGGGCAAGGCGGTGCCAGGCCCAGCACACAGACGCCTCCCCGCCTCCCCGTGCGGTCGGAGCTGCAGTGTGCCCACACAGGGAGGCTGCAGGCTGCAGGGTGGGGCAGCCAAGTTGGCCTTAATAAAAACAGGGGCTTGTCTATCTGGGGGAGTGAAGGCTGCAATGGGCCGGGCTGTGATGCCTGTCTGCTGAGCCGGGCACCAGGCGTGCGGAGGGGAACGGACGCTGGCTTCCCCAGATCTTGGCCCGCAGCAGGTAGATCCGCTCAGTCACCGGACCGAGAGCCACGCGGTGTCCCTCATGTTTGCCTTGGCGCCGCTGAGTGAACGCCGAGGCCAGGTGGTGGCGGGCCGGGCAGTGGGCCAGGGTGGTTGGTGTCTTGCCCTGCCTGCCCTTCCGGGCAGCAGAACCCGGGGCCCAGGTGGGTGAGCCGTAGGAGAGGGGTGTGGGGAGCCAGGGGTGAGACAAACTAACAGCCTGGCAGCCACGTCATGGATTCTGAAGACAGCGTGGGCAGGGCCGGTCCAGGGTCCAGGGCAGGAGGGTGGGAACTGGGCCTTCGAGACGTGCCCCGAACCGCTCATGGCTTCGCTGTGGCTGGTTGGCCTGGCTGTGGGTGGGGTGGCGGCCAGCACTGGGGCAGGGACTGCGCTGGTTGGCAGTGCCCTGGCTTCATGCCCAGCCCAGCCCTGGGCCTGCTGTGCACACGCAGCTTGCTGACTCCAGTTCAGGGATGGCTCCTCCTATTCAGTTTGCCTGGGACCCCTGTGGGCCCAGGAAGCCTCGACCTGGTTGTTTGTGTGCCCCAAACCGTGCAGCCTTCAGAACGAAACTCGGTCTCCTTGGCTCTGCCTTCGGGGCATCGAGCTGGTCCCAGTTTTCCTCAGCTCGTCTCCCTGATGCCATGTTCCCCCACAGCAGGAAAATCCCCCGGCACCTGCCCGTGTTCCTGCGAATGCTCCCACTGACTCGGCCCGCTGTACCTCTCCTCCCTGGGCTGCATGCTTACTAACTAATGATCCCGCGTGGTGTGTGTGTGCGTGTGTGCGCGTGTGTATGTGTGCGTGCGTGTGAGTGGGTGCGG